CTTTTTTTTTTTTTTTTTTTCAATTGCCACCTCATTAGTGATAATATTAGTGATGATAAATTAGTGGTCTATAACATTACTCTTTAAGAAAATTGTAAACTATTCACACAATTTTTTATTGCATTTTTTAATGGTCAATTCACGATTGGAATGAAATGATAAGATGAAGTTTGCATGGGCCACTCTCATTGCAGGTAAGTAATAGAACGTGTTGACTGTAGGTAAGCAATAGAACGTTTTGCTAGTATTATTGCTACGTGCACTTATTAGTGATGGGAATAAATAAAATTATATTTATTTTGACGATAATTGTTAATATAGAAATTATTAAATTATTTTTATATAAAATAATAAAATAAATAAAAAAATATAAAAAATTAAACATTAATATTTTTTTAAAAAATCCCAATATATAAAAAATAAAAAAATAATAAAAATATTTCTAATCCCCTCACTATTTTTCTAATACCATCTCCAACTTTTCCATCTCAATCCCCCTTCCAATCTCCATCTATATCACCTCCTCCATCCTAATCCCCTCTCCAACTCTACAAACAAACACAATACAAAATAACCCCACCTCTATCCTAATCCCCTCCCATCTATTTAACCCCAAAACAAACGGGGCTGAAGGGTTGTGGGAATGGCAACAGGTGGGATTTTTTCGAGTTTTGTGTACAAATTATAATGATATAATTTTATACTTTATGCTAACTTTGACAATTTTAATCTACCTGCCCCTATCTACTTATCAATGCTTTTCCAAATATTTTTTTTAAATATTAAAATTGAATTGAGACAAATATAATTGAATCGGGTGATTTCGTCATCCCTTGTGGGAGAGAGGTTAGGGAGTCACATGCTTGAGAAAGAAGTGGGGTCCCATTTGTTTTCAGAGGTAGAATGGAGGGGATTCATAGTGAGGGGATTAATAGTAAAGGGATTGATAGTTGTGTTTGTTTTAATGATAGTTGTTAGTGTAGGAATTGTTAAATTATTTTTATATAAAATAATAAAACAAATAAAAACATAAAAAATTAAACATTAAACATTAATATTTTTAAAAAAATTCCCAATATATAAAAAATAAAAAAAATAAAAAACTTTCTAATCCCCTCACTATTTTTCTAATACCATCTCTACCTCCTCCTTCCCAATCCCTCTTCCAAGGCCTTTACTAATACCAAGAGATTAAGAGTTCCCTCCTCATCTCTCAAAACAAATACCCCATATAGTAGTCCCACCTCACTATCAATCACAATCTCCTCCCTATAACCCCAAACAAACGGGGCCTGAGGCATGTCGTGGTGGTGCACAAGGAAGGAAAGAAGGGTTGAGGTTGACGTTGAAGGTGTGTTGGTGTGAATTGGAGTGGCAGCGAAGGCAGAGTCGGGTTAAAGGATGTCGGGAAAGAGAAAGAGGGATGAGAGGGCGACGAAAAAAAGGGAAACATTATGATACATACTTTTTAAAGAGTGAATATTATAATTAAAAAAATAGGATAATTTTGGTTTGCCTTTAGAATCATGATTTCAAAGGCAAACTTTTCAAATCATTTTTCAAAATTTATAACAAAATTCACAACTCAAACTTACTCAAAACTCAATTTAAAAATTAATTTCAAAACTCATAACTAAACACACAACTCAAATTTCAAAACTTAAAACTCTTTTGATGATATAGGGTTGTAGTTAGTGATGAGATTATTAAATTCTTGTTATAAAAAAATCTAAATAAATTAATTTCTATATTTAAAATATATCTAAAACAAATATATATATATTTTAAATAACAGGTTGCAATTGCAAAAAAAAAAATTAAGAAATAAAAAAATAAAAATTTGCAATGTTCTGATCAACCGATCGGTCAACCGAAGGGTGTCCGGGAGGATGTCCAGGCGGACGACTGGGTAAACCCAATCCGCGCTTTTCAAAATTCAAAAATTCGTTTCAAAATACTTTTCAAAACTCATAACCAAACAAATTTTCAATTACTCAAAACTCAACTCACAGTTCCACACTCAAATCACAACTCCAAAAAGAGAATCACAATTTCAAAACTAAACCAAACGCAACCTTTAATTTTCTAAGTCATAACTAAAAAAGTATAAACTTGCTCGAATTGCTTTGAATTGCTCAAATTACACAAGTCGGATGTTTGGTCAGACGACTGCCAGGATGATTAGCGTCACCCTTATTAACCTCGATTGTCACCTTTGTTTACTAGGATGTCAACCTACATTCGTCCAGATGACCAGCATCCTATCAAATAATCGGTCGGACAACCGGGGGGAGGGGGAGGGGGAGGAGTTGGAGTTATGGTGGATGTTGAAAAAAAAGAAAAAAAAGAAGAAGATTGAAAAGTAATTTGTGTGTGTAAAGGAGTCTAAAGTAAAAAGGTAGAACTATATTGCATTTTTTTTTTCTTTTATTGAGAAAGTATAAAACTAATATCGAGTAACAAAATAAATCTGAAATTGTTAATTATTAATTTTAATTTAATTTTTTAATCTAAACCATCTATTTATGACAAAAAAATATATCTTAATCACTAAGCTCAACGAACCATCTATTTATCTATGAAAATAGACAAATAATTTAAATTAAAAATAAATAAAATTTTACTAGACCAAAAATTAAAGTTTAAATTGGAAAAATAAAAAATAATTTTTTTTTTATAACAAATATCAAACTCTTTTTTTGGATATTTATTCATAAATTTCTCTTTACCTACTTATGTTTCATTTAGTCTAAATTTTTTTCTTATGTCCTAATAATTTCTATAGGTGACATAGTTATCAAAATACCCATAACAATAATAATAGGATGAAGTGCGCATTAATGTTCACATTGATAGTGTAAATGTTTCATGATGTTAACATTCATACTGTCAACGTGAATATTTACACTATCAAATTTATTTAAGTAAATGATTGACTCACTGAAGTTAAACTTGCTCGAATTGCTTTGAATTGCTCAAATTACACAAGCCGAATGTTCAGTCGGATGACTGCCAGGATGATCAGCGTCACCCTTATCAACCTCGATTGTCACTTTTGTTTACTAGTGTGTCAACCTACATTCGTCCAGATGACCAGCATCCTATCAAATAATCAGTTGGACAACCACCCGGATGACCGACATGCATAAATTCGGATAAGTCAGGTTAGTCCAAATTCAGTGGATGTAGTAATGCTCATCTATACTATATATTAAAGAAAATGAGATTTCTAAATGAGAAGAGTCTTATTAAACTCAAAACCCTTATACTATTTTTCTAGAATTCTTATTTTTTAAATAATTAAAAAATCTTATATTGATTAACTTTTATTGAATCATTAAAAAAAAAAATCTTATTATGTCTTGATTTACAAATTTCAAAAAGATATTTAATTAATTCATTTATAAATTTTAATTAGAAATTTGAAAAAGGAAAGTTAACTAATCGGTTTTAAAATTAAAAAAAAATCTTCTAGCTTTTATTTAATCACTATTTTTTTTTTTTTTTACCATGCCTTGATTTATACATTTCAAAAGGAAAGTTAATTAATCCATTTATAAGTTTAAATTTAAAAATTTGAAAATGAAAATTAACTAATCAGTTTTAAAAAAATAAAAAAAAAATCTTCTAGCTTTTCTTGAATCATTTAAAAAAATCTTATTATGCCTTGATTTACACATTTAAAAATAAGAAAATTGGTGATAAATTCAATCTAAGGAGGGTATAAGACATTCGGTCTAGTGGATATTTTTTATTAGTGATAGTTCTATCTTTTGTGAAATAGTTTTGCGAGAAGTTTTTTTTGTTGGTTTTAGAGGATATTTTGTTTCTAATTTTATCCCTTAATTTATTTGTTGACTTTTCGTTGACTATCTGTTCAAATTTATATCTATTTTTTTTTATCTATTCAATTGAATCTGTTAAAATTTTATCTGTATAAAATTATATTTGTCCATTTTTTTTCTATTTGTTTATTTGTTGAATTTATTATGTCTTGATTTATACATTTTAAAAAAATTAATTTTTGATTATTTATTTATACATATGCTATGTGTATGTTTATATCATTAAATTATCAAAAGTTAAAAAAATATTATAAAAAAAATTATTCATAAAATATTTCAAATATAAAAATTAAATTTAGGAAATTAAATATTTAAAATAATTTCCTCTCCTAATTCCTTGTAAATTAATAATAAAATAATTATAAAAAAATTCTCAAAGTTTTCGGGTCCAATTTGCTCGATTGTATGGCACTGCTACGGTCGTGAGACGATTGAGTCAGACGTTGTTGGCGCTGGTCTCTCAGACAGAGGAGAGAGAGAGAGACAGAGAAGAGAGAGAGGGGCGGCCTTCCTCTGCTTTTCTATTCGTTTGTTTCTCTCTCTAAAAAAACACTCTTTTTATCTCCAACTCCCTCACCGTGTTTTTTGCAATCTCCGTTTTCTGGGTTTGTTACCGATTTTCCCTCTCTATTACTCAACTCAACCTGTCATCCATTTTTCTTTTTCCTCTCCGAATCTCTCTCTACTTTACATTCCATCATCACCTAGTTTCTCTTCTACTTTGTTAATCACTCCTTTTCATTTGTGGGTTTTCTTGGATTGATTGAATCGTTTTTCTTTTTTCAAGATTGATCTGGTCAGGTGGTCTGGTTTGATCATTTAAACTTGAATTTGATCGTGGGTTTTTATAGAATTCGGAGTAATTGTTTATGGGTTTGGTGAATGTGATATTGTTTTCGATCTCTTGATTTGGGTTTGCATTGCATTTGCAAGGGAAAAGAAGAGAAGAAGACAATTCGATTTTTGTTTGTTAAAAGCGAAGTATCTATAGATCTGATCTATACACCTTTTAAAACTTTTTCCATATATTTGTTCTTTATAAAGTGCCATAATTCGATTCTTTGTGTTTATACCCTTTTAGGGGTTGTTCATTGTTTAAAGTGATTTCCTTTTAAATGTTGAAAGATTTGACATTTGAATTCGAGTACTGTTCTCATCGTCGCGGATTAAGCTAATTCGATTTATTTGCATAATTGTAGATAGATAAGGGTGAATTTTGTGGATTAATCTTATAATTAGGCCGCGAAATCCAAAGGGTTTTCGGGGATTTCCTTGAAGGCGTCGTGACGGATTCGTCTACCGAAAATAGGGGGTGTGATTGTTTGGCTGGTCTGGATTGCTTATTGAATATCATCAGGGCCCTGAGCATGGGGTCCTGCTTGTCTGCTGAAAGCAGGAGCCCTCTCCTCCCTAGTTCCCCTCTGGGAATTAGGAAGAGGAAGAGCTCGAAAAAGAGGATTGGGTCTCGGAATTCTTCGTTTGATTACAGGAGGGAAGAACAATTGCATAGGATTCCGGGGCGGATGTTCTTGAATGGGTCTAGTGAAGTTGCTTCACTCTTTACCCAACAAGGCAAGAAAGGGACCAATCAAGATGCCATGATTGTTTGGGAGGTTTGCCCTTGTCACGCTTTCATTTCCTATTGGTTTTATTGTTCAAATGGTTGTTGAATCCTGCGAATTTTTAATAGAATTTGCATATGTGCTTCTTGAATATATTAGTGTATGCTTTTCTGATAATTTCTGCAATCTAAATATATGCTGAGGGACTAATCTAATTTAAGATTGCTGTTTTTTGGTAAAGGGCTATTTGAGACTTCCTTTTGTTTACATGATCCATTTTTTATTTTTTTATCTTGGGGTACGTGTTTTATTACCCAAAAAGAAGATATTACAATGTGGCTCAAGGCTCTTATTCATAGTTATAACAGATCATATGATCATGGACTCTCCAGCCCAAAACCTAGTCAAAATAAATGAAGTCTGTTAAACCTGATTGACTATGGAAGGAATAAAACCATAAATTAACATGTGGCCACCCACAAACAAAACCAAGCAACTGCTCATATGAAACAGTCATCCACTGGTGACAAAAAATCAGTCATTACAAGGACACAAAGCTCCAGCTGTTTAGCAGAGCAAAAGGATAGGGGGAGAGATGGACTAGAAGGAGCTACCTCCTGTATAAGTCTTTAGGGTAAGGTGTTATAATGCTATTTTTTTATATGATGCCCCCCCATCTCTTAAACCATTCCTTATTCTTTCTCGGGTTTGGGGTAAGTAACAGGGCTACAGATGTTCTTGTGTCTAAAGAAATACATCAAAACATAGGTAAGGAACTCTAGGATCTGAATTCTCTATCTCGTTGCTCATTTTGTTTAATAAATTGGCAGTGTCCGATTCTAAAAAAAATTATTAGGACATATTTGGACGCATGTTCCACACATGACATAAGTGTCCTGCAAGTGTTGGAAGCATCCGACGTGTGTTGGGAAGTATCCGTGTGTTGTACACTGATACACCACCTTCTTAGAAGTGTCCATACTTTTTAGTTGGCCATGAATATTTGATTGCTTATTCTAATGTACATTCATATATATTTTAGAATGGGAATGTACCCTTGTGTTACATTACATAGTATATCACTAATTTGACAAATCAGAATCTCAACAAATGAATTATTATTATTATTATTGTAGAACTAGAAAATGTGGAGTTGATTAAGTTCACAACAAAGGGAAAATCTCATCCAAAATGATTTTTGAAAGATATCCATTCTTCATTACTGATGGGCACACTTTCCGAATTTGATGTTCAAAGAGCTATTTGTGTTTCCATAGTATTTTTTAGGCACAATTAGAGAAGGCTAAAATATTAATAATTTGTTTTTGTTTTTTTTTTTGCATGTCTACATGTTTAGTTTTTGTTATTATAATAGTCAATCAGTGTATGCTTCACAGTAGCTCAGTCAAACTACATGTATTTCAACTCTATCCTTCATAATATTTGACTTTGTTATTATTGTCTCAAGTTGGTAGTTAGATGGACATGCTATTTACTTACTGTTACAAATTGAATTTCCAGAACTTTGGCTCAAGAACTGACACAGTTTTCTGTGGCGTTTTCGATGGTCATGGCCCCTATGGTCACATGGTTGCAAAGAGAGTAAGAGATTCCCTTCCCTTGAAATTGAGTGCTCATTGGGAAGTTAATATAAAGGGTGACGAAGTTCTCAGAGAGATCAGTCTTAATATCAATGGTAGCATGAACTCTGAAGGTACTTCTTTTATATCTGCTGATGAAGAATCCAGGCCATCCATTGCTGTTGAAGAAACAGAGAAGCAGCCAGAGATCTTTCAGACACTGAAAGAGTCATTTCTGAAGGCATTCAGAGTCATGGATAGGGAACTAAAAATGTATACAAATATTGATTGCTTTTGCAGTGGGACGACAGCAGTAACACTGGTGAAACAGGTCCTTTGACTGATGACTATTTAAAATTGATTAGAAAAAGACTTTGCGGAAATTTCTTCCGAGTAAGTAATGCGTTGACTGTTTTGTACAGGGCGAGTATCTTGTGATTGGAAATGTTGGGGACTCGAGAGCTGTGCTGGGTACCAGAGATAAAGATGATTCTCTTCGTGCGGTTCAGTTAACAGTGGACCTCAAACCAAATCTTCCAGGTATCTCTCTCTCTCTCTCTATATATATATATAATTGTGTATATGTATAGGTTTTTCTATAGTGCTCTTGTGCTTGTAAACTATATAGATAGAGAGCACAAAGGAGTTGGATAAAGAGATAATTGAAGATTTTGTATTTTTATGTGTTGTGCTTTAATTAGGGTTTTATTTCTTAGTTTTTTTTACCTTATTGGATTTTTTAAGTTAGCCTATGTATGGATTTTATGTAATGATTTATTATAGTTGATGCTTGAATATTGAAGAATTGATATATTGTCTTGGATTGATTTCCCCGTTTTCCTCCCTACATTTACACATTCTTCTTCTTCTCTATAATTCTTCTTTTCTTCTTCTTGGTGCTACATCATATATGCTGTAAGATGTTAAGCTAAATACTGAAAATTGGTTTGAGTTGTTTTGAAAATAGTGTTCTAGGGCTTGAAACACTTCCCATTAAGGTTTTTTTGGGAGTTGCAAGACGTATATTGTGTAAGTATATTTTGTCATATGTTAAGCTACATATTTGTGCTGGTTTACATGGACTCATCAAAATAAATCAAATGCCTGCGTTAGATGCCCGATCCGACACTTGGACAATGGTGTGGGATATGTGTCCGATACTTTCCATCGAACACTTCTTATGTATTTTTGTTTAACACTATCTTGTATATTGTTGTATAATTGTTATAAAGTTAAGTAAAATTCTTTTTTTGATATTATATGTTGCATATAACATCATTTTATCTCACTTAATGGATCAAAAATATAAAATATGACCCTTAAATTTGAGGTTTGTGGGTCTGACCCCTAGATATGCACCGGCACCTGCGCACCCGTCCATGTAACGCAGTTTGGGAAATAGGATTTTTTAATATATATAACAACTATATGTTTTGTTTGTAAATACATATATGTATGCACTATGTCATTGATAATTGAATATGTGCTTTCCAAATAAGGACCAATATTTGCTTTGTGAAAATATTTTGCTTGAGACATGAAGCTGCTGTGCCACCACTCTTCCATTTATTCTTGTAATTGTTCTGCTTGCTGTTTCTTAGCTTTTTTAATTTATATAATGGAGAAGCTTCTCGTAAGAATTAAAACCTAGACACGTTATAGACACTGCATGGCAATTTTTTTTTTTAAAAATACAGTACACTTAAAAAATTTATATTTTTGTAAATTTATTTTATGTCGAATACATGAATAGTTTATTCAAGGGTAATATATGTATTAAAAAAAAAAAGAAAAAAAGAAAAAGAAGCAGCATTACACTAATTAAAATTAAAAAAACCATATATTCCATAACTTAAATATCAAGATGTCATTTACGTTACAATTGTATTTTAAAGAGTGTAAAATAATCGTAGAACATTGCGTATGTGGACTCATCAATTACTTCTTGATGAACTGGGTAGTTTTTGTGCATTCGTGGGCTCCCCATATTTCCCAACAAGTGGTCTTAGAGTCGATGACGGCGATTTATGAGAAGATTTTTCTAGCTAAACAGTTGTAGGCAGTTCACGTGAAGACTTTTGATGGAACAAGAAAATCCATTAATAACTCTCAATAGGGCACGGAAAATCTAGGTGCACACAATTGAATGGCCTATGACATGGTGATTCTTGATGGAGTCTCACATCAAATTAAATGTAAATAGAGTGGGTCTTAATATGGCAAGGCCTTGGGTCCTGGGGGTGTGCTCCCTCTAAGGTTCAGGGATCGAAACCTCTTTAAGTGTTAACAATTTCTTGGGGTCATCGGACTAGGGAAAAATCCTTGAATTAACCGTGGTACACTTGCGGGAAACTCCTTGTTGAGTGCCTGTGCACCCCTAGGGATTGGTCGAGCTTTGATTCGGACATCCCATTGCCAATCAAAAAAAAATATATACAATAAATTGAAAGCTTTTAAATGATTATAAGTTCCAAACATTGTGTGTTGGGCTTTGGGTTCTCTAGTTGATTGGTCTGTGTTGTGCTCACGAACTGCTCGGTTTTCTTAACAAAATAATCACAATAAAAGATTTCAAATTATTTCAAAACTTCAATTCATAATACCCTAAACATGCTCAGTTTGAAATTCTATATTTTCCATTTTTCCTTTTTTCATGCTCGTCATCAATCCTCTATAAGATTGCACTTGTTGAAAAGAAACCATTACTTTGATTAGACAAGTAGTGTTCTGAAGTAGATCTATACACAAAATTTGTAAGTCATTTTTGAGGAATTGTAACTTTATCACTTAGCATAAATGAAGAAGTTTCATTTTTGTATTTTAAGTAGTTCTTTGAGTAAATAGTAGGAAACATAAGTGCTATGTTACACGGACTCTTTCGATTTTTGGACGTATCCGTGTCGACACGACATGGGTACGGGTGCGGGTACCGGATATGGCTCTTTACAAACAGATATGGCAAAGGAAACGAAAGGGGAGAGAGAAAGAGAGAACTTAGTCGCTGTTTGAAAGGGTGTAGACATTGATCTAGTTGCTGACTTCGATCCCTCTAGTCGCTGACTTCGACGGCTTCAACTTCGACATTGATCTTCTTTGCTTGATGTTTGATCTCCTCTCTCTCTCTCTCTCTAAGAGATAACAAAATAAATCATATATAATATTAATTATTATATTATAAAATAATTATCTACACAAATTATTATTTTATTTATATATATAAAATAAATCATCTATTTTTAAAAATATATATAATATAAATTATTTTATGCCTAAAATAATTTTTATATGTTATATTTTAGGATAAATTACAAATACACCTCCTGAGATTTACTTAAATTACAAATTACCCCATGTGGTTCTAGAAATTACATTATGTCCCCATAAGGTTTCTAATTTTATAACAAATAGGTCATTTTATTAATAAATCATCAAGTTAATTAATATTTTTTAATAATGTTAAAATTTTATTTGAATTAATAATTCAGATAATTTTATTATTATATATGTGAACAGTTAGGAATTTCACTTTTTCAATTAATTCTGTTAAATAAAAAATTATGACAGGGAGGTATTTGTAATTTTCTAAACCACAAGGAGCAAATTGTATGTTAAGCAAACCTCAGGGGATGTATTTGTAATCTATCCTATATTTTAGTAGGATGCCTAAAAAATACATAATATTTTTTTGACACATTCATGTTTAGTCGTATCTACCTACACCCGGCACTCATAACCGAGTCCATTTAACGCAGCTCAAGTGTTGTGTTAATGTCCAACACAGACATTGACATGAGACAAACACTTGTCCTAACGTGTTCTATTATTTTTAATGTTTTTGAAATACCATATACTTATTGGACGCTCACTTCCATTCCCTGGACAAACATGAGACACATCTAGTGCTTGTTTGACATGTGCACATGCTATTTTAGCACATTATCCTATTTGGGTCACAATTATCTTATTTGGGTCACATCACCTCTCTACCACATCTTGTGCTTATTTGGGTCACATTTTTTCATAAAAAGTCAAAAAATATACTAATCTAGCACTTCCCAAACAATTGCCTAGTGTTTTGGCACGAGTTTGATGAAAATATAAAGAAGTTAAATGATTTGAATCATATATGTTTACCCCTCTTGGGTGTTTTAATACTTGAAACCTTCTAATTTAGTTTATAAAAACTTAAAAGGATTCTAAAAGTAAGACATTAGGACTTTCTATTTCTACTTTTCGATATATACCTTTTTAATTTTTATAAATAGATTTTATCTATAGTTGTGTCCCCACTTTGTCCATGTCTTAATGTTTCGAATATTGCTAAGTTGGTGTGCCTATTCATGTGGTATGTGTGTGCCACGTTCATAATCATATGCTTCTTAGGCTAAATATAATGGAGTTTTTATTTTATTTTATTATTTATTTTTTATCTATTTGTCATTATCTGTTCGCATTTAATGATCAGAACCATTTGATTTTCCTTTGTCAGGCTTTCTTATGATTTCGTTTGTGATATCATTCAAAGGATGCAACTATCTAAGCAACTTATTTCATAGCAGTTTTTCTGTATGTCTAATTGACTTTCAAATATTTAAACTAAACTTCTTATTTGTTAAATCTACACTTGACTTTGTACATCCCATTTTTTTATTGCAGAAGTATAAATGCCAAATTTCACCTAATTTTTGTTTAATATTCTTTTGAATGCTAAACCAATTAACCATAATCTTAAGTTGGCAAGTTTCCAAAACATTTAGATCTCCAAATTTCTTTGTTTTTTTTTAAGGGACACTTACCAATTAGTCTTATTAACTAGACCTATTTATCTACAGGTCCTAATTGATAAATTTATCATTGTAAATTTAATAATAAAAACAAAAGAGACCGATAAATTTATCACTTGATGAATTTATCAACAAGACTTAATGGGTAATTAGTCCCAAAAGCTCTGTTATCAGAATCTTACGATTCGCGATTCGATTCACGATTCAATTCGCAATTTTTGCAAAATCGATACGAATCTAAAGGTGAATCTCTAGTGAATTGCATGATTCACAATCGATTCACGATTCGATTCACTTTTTACAATTCATGTAATTTTTAAAATTATTGTGTCCGACATATTTTCGACTCTATTTTTCCTCCATCTTTTTAGTAAAAATGACATAATACAACTTCTAATAGCGTTTAATACCAAAATAACCAGTATATATACATGATTTGTTATTATTTTAGTGATCATGAAGTTTTTAATATGATTCAATTAGATTTAGTCAGACCCAACATATTTTTAACATTTCTTCACTTTTTTTTTTTTTCCTTTAAAAAATCGTAATATATCTTCTAAAGATGTTTAAGATTAAAATTACACTATGAATTATCTATTGCTATTTTATTAAATTAAATATTACATCTATGAGGTCAGTTATACTTTTTAAAATATTTTAGGCTTTAAAAAAAAAGATTCTGAATGATTCTTTCTTATTATTTGCTCACTGTCACTTAGAAAAGTATGTGTGTTTATTGTCCAAATATCAATATCGTTATTAATTATTGTTACTTTAGAAATTGATAGTTAGTCTATTTGGTTATTATTTTTATTAAGAATGGTTATAAGAAATATCTAAAAAAGAAAAAAAGGTAAGATGGTGATCTTATATAGGAACGTTTGTTAACTTCTTACTTATTAAACTACGTGATTATCATTCAAAATTACATTTTTATTGATTTAATTCTAAATATTTTATATTCATAAGATATATTTAACATCTAAATGTGTAAATATATGTTTTTTAATAATTTAGAAAAAGTGACTGAATCTTTACGAGTCACGATTCGATTCGATTCGCGATTCGGTACGAGACTATTTCGATTCTCGATACAAATCCCAATTTGACAACTATGCCCAAAAGTATGATCTATTTGTATTTACTCTTTTTTTAATTTATAGCCAAATCTGAATACATGCCAGATTATATAATGGTTCATTTGGGATCCCTATTTGAGTCTGAAATCCAATTTGGTACCATATATATTTTTTAAATTTTTTTTTATATAAGTATTTAAGTAAGCACCAATTTTAAATGGTTGTTCATACTTTACACACACCTTGTTTGACTCATTAATGTTGCATGTTGAATTAAGCAATCATTTTGAAGGATTTGTGAATATTTCTCTTGGTATAAATCATTTTTTCATTCATTGATTTTATTATACAAGTTTTTAATATATATATGCTTCTCAACCTAAAACATGCTTGAGATATGTATGCAAACTAAAATGGGGGTCAAGTCGAGCATGAGTTGGGGCACACTATTGAGTTCTCACTACATGCCAATTAATTGTTAAATCTAGGTTGAGTTTGGATGGCATAAATCTGGAAGGGGGATTGAGAATGTTATTACGGGGCCCCCATGATTCCATCATTTCAAATGGTATTGGAATAGGAAAGTGATTCTTGATTCCCAACTCACGTTGGTATTGTTTTCTCAAACCAATTAGGAATTTGATCCACTCACCTTTCATGGTAATATCAGATTCAAGCCTAATCCAAAAAAGAAGGAAAATGTGGTCTAATAAATTTCCTACTATACTTTATATGTAGAACACAACAAACTAGAAACCCTATTCTCTCTCTCTTTCTGTCTTCAATCTGTACCTTTTTCTCTCCAATCTCTTTCTGGTTTCCATACTCGAACTTCGTAGCTATCTTTAGGTGTCTCTTTGACTTGCTCACTTTTATTTTTCTGAAGGAGAAAATTATTCAGTGTGTTTGGTTTCAGTTTTCTAAAAATTAAGTTTTTTTATTTTTTGTATTTTTTTGTTTTTAATGAGTATTTTTAAAATTTTAAGCAATTTTTTTATTTTTTTAGACGCACTTTACTTAGATGTATCTAAATAGTAAAATATTTAAAAAAAATTAATAAATACATAAAAATACGAAAAATGTACTAAATTTTTATATTTTTTGGTATTTAGTGTATTTTTAAAAGATTTTTTTTTACATATATTATACTTTTTAAGTGTATTTATGTTAGGTGTGTCCAAAAATTAAAATCAATTGCTTAAAATACTAAAAAAATTCATTGAAAATATTAAAATACAGAAAATAAAAAGTAGAATTTTCTGAAAACCAGAACCAAAGAAAGTGATTCTTTTTTTATTCCAAATTTCTTAGTTGATGATGAAGTGAAAGCAATTGTTAATATGTAGCTAAACATGCAGGCTGTATTTCATCCAAAATAACATAACCAAGAATTGAACTTGTCATTGATCCACATTAATTGCTAAACTTTTCATCCAGAACTGTAAGGCTTCGATTTTGGAGCATAATAGAATCAACAAGACATTGAGGAGAAGGTGTTGAGCTAAGAAGCACGGACAAGGACAATTTTCAAAAAAAACATGACATGACACATGGGAACACACACAAAATATATAGTTTTATATATTTATTATTTCTCATAAATATGAATATGTCATTCATAAATAATAAAAAAATACAATATTACATAATTTCTATATATTTACATTGTTTTTATTTTGTTATTATATGCTAAGTTATTTTCTTCAAATTTATAATTAGTTTCATGTATGTCTAATATGTGTATTTAAGTGTCCAAATTGAAGATACGTTTTGACAAGTGTTGGACACGTGTCATGAAGTGTCCAACACGGACGTGACAGGAATACGCTACCTTCTTAAAAGTGTCCATGCTTCTTATGTGTTGAACAAAAGGTGTTTTCAACAATTAAATAAAATCTCATTACTTCCATATGTTTTAAATGATTACACCAAACACTTATAAATTGTATTTTAACACTTGAATGAGATTATCTCAGGTATTAGCTTACTGGATATTGGATTCTTAGTAATGATATTCCCACCCCCCCTCTTGATTTCGGCCATCCAAACATAGCCATAAGTCAGCGATTTGTTGTAGCAGCTGGTATGAGGCTTACATGATGCTGAGGAATTAAAACAATCACATAAATTTGGTTTTTTAATGTCTTGTTGGTATTATCTTCACTAGTTAAACAGGAAGCCTTGTACATACAAATTGAATTTTTTTTTTAGGGTAAATTATACTGACACCCCCTGAGATTTGATCCAATTACATTCCACCCCCTGACGTTCTGAAAATTACATTCTCACCCCTGTGGTTAATAGTCTCATTTCATAAGCCCCCATACTTATATAAAAGGCAATAACTCCTAGTGGAAAAACAGAGAAAATTACATTAAAAAAAAAAAAAGCAAAGCAAAGGAAAGGAAAGGAAAAAAAAAAACAGACGAAGTAAAACAAAACATGAAAAGAGAGAGTGCATGAGTTTAATGTCTTCATTCTGTCTAAATAATTACAATGACAGGAGGGTTAGTGTAATTTCCCAAACATTACGGAGTGATATGTATTAAACTTAAATCTCAGGGGGTGTGAGTGTAGTTTACCCTTTGTGTGTGTGTGTGTGTGTGGTGTTTTCTTCCTATTCTTTTTCGTATTTTCAATCGTAAATGAGGAATACCTATGGAAGATCTATTGTTTTAGTTCTAATTCATTTCTTCATTTTCAAATTGTAGCTGAAGCTGAGAGGATTCGAAAATGTAGGGGGCGTGTTTTTTCCCTTAAAGATGAACCTGAAGTTGCCCGAGTTTGGCTGCCAAACAATGACTCCCCTGGACTTGCAATGGCCCGGGCTTTTGGAGATTTCTGCCTCAAGGATTTTGGTTTGATCTCTGTGCCTGAAATTACTTATCGATGTCTAACTGAGAAGGATGAGTTTGTCGTCTTGGCTACAGATGGGGTATGAAACCCAATTTAAACTCTTTTAACAATTTTCTTTGTTTACACTCTATTTTGCAACCTAGGAGAGAAATGAAATGAAATGATTGCACAAGTTAGAGCATCTCCAACAGTGCGTCTTTTTTTTTCACCAAATTTAAGTAAAGACTCCATTTGATATCAATTGCTTCAACGGAGGATTTTGAGCATGCATCAAAACACCGGTCGACCGGGCGGATATCCGGCCGGTTGATCGGCGATTGTAATTTTTTCACAAATTTTTGTAAAGAGGTGGTCATCTGAGAAGACAAATTCAACGGCTATGAACAATGAAATGATGAAAGGTCCTAGGTATCCTCAATTTGGTGAAAGATTTTTGATATATTCGATTTGATATTCATTTGATGAAACCATCGGAGCAGGAAAAATGTGGTTTTTTCATCAAATTTAAATTTGATGAAAGAATTGATGAACCATTGGAGATGGTCTTAGGAGAGAAAAGAAAAGAAGAGAAATTTTTTTGTTTTTCTCTCCCTCCTATTTGGATAAAAAGGAAAGAAAAGATGGAGAGAGCAAATTGTTTCATGTTATATTATCTTACCAAAATAACTTTTTATCGGTGCCAATTTTTAAATTATTTTTTTTTTATTTCTTCTATATCTGATAGGGCAGTTTTGGTATTATGAAAAAATAGTAATTTGTTGTTTTCTTCTTCTCCCAATCTCTCCAATCTCTCCAACACTGTTGGAGAGACTCAAAATGAGGATTATACGAAAATTGAGTCTCTCCATTTCTTCCCATTTCACCCCATTTATCTCCTTTTTACTAATCCAAACAGGTGATATAAGCCAAGAAAAGTGCATTTCTTTTCTTTTCTTCCCAAGTCACCCAGTCCAAATCGGATGTAAGTTTTTTATTTTATTATATTATATTATTTATTTTTATTTTTATTTTTATTTTTATTTTGTGCACAGATTTGGGATGTGCTTTCAAACAAAGAAGTGGTAGACATTGTAGCTTCTGCCCCGGCACGTTCGTCCGCAGCTCGAGCTCTTATTGGGTCTGCAGTTCGGGCTTGGAGGTGCAAATACCCTACTTCCAAAGTTGATGATTGTGCCGTGGTTTGCCTCTTCCTAGATTCAAACTCGAACAATTTCTCTACTGCTTCAAATGCCAAATCCAATGAGAAGATTATGTCAATGGATCAAACCTACATTGATGGTGAGAAAGACGATCCTTCTGTCCCTGCCAGGCTGGATCGTTCTGGCACCGTTCGACCTTGTGAAGAAATTCATCCAGAAAGAAACAAGGACATGGAAAACGAGGAAGCAATGCAAATGGACTCAGAAAAGGACTGGTTAGCTCTAGAAGGAGTGTCTCGTGTAAACACACTATTGACTTCTCTAGAAGGAGTGTCTCGTGTAAACACACTATTGACTTTGCCGAGGTACATCCCTGGAAAAGAGAAGAAAGTTTCTTCATAGACAAAAGCTTGGAAATGATAAAGCCAAAAATGTATCACTTGGATTTGCTTTTTTGTTCATTGATTTTTTTTCACCATTTTTGCACTTCCTAGTTACGCTGTCTCTATTTATGGTTTCTTTTCTCTACTAAAGAAAAAAGAAGGGAAAAAAGGTAAGTGATCGATGTTTATTTAGGACATGGAGATGTGGCCCGGCTATATTAGAGTGTCTGGGAAATCATCTTTTTACGTTTTTGTTTTTGGCTTTTCTCCAATGTGGATAGAATTGGAATTTTGTAAAATTGTTCATTTTGGTCGTTAAAATTTTTCTTGTGATTTGTTGGGTTGTCATTTATGTTAAAAATAACCTATTGTGGTGATGAAGCCATTCGAGTGAGCTTGCAAGATTTGATTGTATCAAGTTATGTACTAATTTTGAAAGCAGACTGAGACTTCTTATTTTGGTAGGTTGATTGGATATTGCAAGAATATGAACAGTGGGCTATATATGAATATTGTATTGTGTATAGAACGGCTACAATTACTGGAATTTTTGTGCACTGAAATTATTGATTTACGTTGTGTTTAGTTAGAAGATTTGATGAAAGAAATAAAAAAGGAAAAGAAAATGCAATTTCACTTTTTGTTTACTTATAATAGAAAATACAGTGAGAAGGAAATATAATTTCATTTTTTGTCTTTTAGTTTCACTTCTGCTTTTTTTTTTTCCCTTCAATTTTCAAGTCAATCAAACATAATCTGAAATTCGAATCCTATCAATTGTTTTTCATTTTTGTTTTATTTTCCTTTCCTTTTTCGTTTTTTTTCATTAAATTCTTCAACTAAACCCAACTTTAAAAGAAAATATTTACATCTACATGATAATTTTAGTGCACAAAAATTTCGATCTAGGTGTAGTTTTCCTTGTAGGTTCCCTCCCATACCCCAAATCTCATAAGAGCAATGCTATAAATCAGTAATTTGTCATCACTAATCCTACCACTAGTGAGGTGGCAATTGGAAAAAAAAAAAAAGAAAAAGCCAAGGCATAAACACACTGGGACTTACTGCCACATCATTAGAGCCATTACTAATTAATGGTTTAAAACATTACTCATCTCATAATCTCACCCGAAGCCAATTTCTAGAGCATATATATTTGTTTTGGAGTAATTTCTATTGAATTTCCTATCATTTAGGGTTGGTTAAGGTGAAAAAAATTAAAGTGTTTGGAAATAGTTTTTAATTTTTTTATAAAAAAAAAAACTTACAAAAAATAGAGAGACGCAAAATTAAATTTTGATTTTTTTTTAGTGATTTTTTTACTATAATAATTTATTACTAAACAAAAAGTTATATAATCGATTTGTAAGTTTCCAATTTAAAAGTTGATTTTAAATCATATAATTTTATTCGAAAGTTAATAATCAAACAAAAAAATGTATGAACTATAAGAGAAAAGAGGTCTAAAAATTCTTCATGACCGTTTTATTTCAAATTATGATATTCATTATTTTATTTATAATTTCAAAAATATTATTACCACATCATTATTTTAGATGAATATTTTTATACAATTTTTTTTTTGTTAGTAGTAAATAATTTTTCAATTTTAAAATAAGTTAATATGAAAATTTTAGTATACACTCTTTAAAAAAAGGTATACCATATGCACGTCTAATTATATCATTTTCTTTTTTAATTATGACTAATTTTCTTAATTAGTTATGATATTATTTTAATTATGATTCATAAATTTTTTAGTTATGTCTTGTATTGTATTTAGTTATGATATTATTTTAATTATGATTCATAAGTTTTTTAGTTATGCCTTGTATTGTATTTAATTATGATATTTTTTTTTTTAAAGTTATGATTTAGAAAATTAAAATTATACTATTTTTTTTAAAACTTATAATTTACCTATAGTACACACTATTTAAAGAGTGTTTACTATAATATTTTCCAAAATAATAACATACTTGTTTAAAAATAATTAAAATAAAAATTAAAGAGGTAACCAAACAAACAAGCCCGAGTAATTTTTATATGCGGATAAAATATATATTATGTGCTATATTCTACTACTAAGTCTAACTTTGGTAATAACGTCCATTATATTTATATGAGGTATTTAAAAAACAATAAAAATATATATATAATTATAATTGATGAAATATATTACCACGTATTACATATGGCCATACAAAAATTTCTCCCAGACATCACATGACACATCAGGCACCTTATCCTCCACACAAACATGGAGAGAAGATTTGGAGAGAGAGAGAGAGTGAGGAATTTGAGGGTCCAGTTCAATCCAAAATGTTTGGCAGAATGGGTTGTCAGAGATGACTGCTTCTAGCGCCTCCGCTTCCGCCGTGACCACAACCAGCTTGACCGGCGTGCATCTCGGCCGTAGAAGGAGAAGCAGAGTCACCTGCCGCTTCAACCGTTTCGATTCCCCCTTCTTTCATCGCCGCCAATTTTCATTACGAGGTTGCTCTTCTTCTTCTTCTAATTCTTCTCCTCCTCTTCTTCCTTCATCAATTACTACTTACACTGATCAAATTTAATAGCTATATATTATATTCTAATCAGTATACGATGTTTGGACTTTCGTTTTAACATCTACTTCATCCCATTTTACGCGTCCCAGCTAACTATGCACAAAGTTTTTAAAAAACATCTTTAATGATAAATTTAGAAGAAAAAAAAAAAATCTTTTGTATTATTTGAAAATGTTCGTGATTTTTTTAACATAAATGTAAAGAAGGTTAAAGTGATTATTAAAAATTTTATGTTGCGTTTGGTTGAGAGATTTGGAAAGAAATTTGAAAAACGAAAAGGAAAAGGTATGTGAAATTACGTGAAATGTAGGTCTATTTTATTCACATTTCACTTAATTTTTCTATTTCTCTTTCCAAATCCCTCATCAAATCTTCCAACCAAACACAGCGTTAGTGGATTAGACAACTTTCAGTTTTAGTTAAAAATAAATAAATAAATAATACTAAAATGTCTCTTTACTTTTTTATACATATTTTTATAAAAAATTAAAAAATTATTAAAATGTTATCTTCCCAAACAAGGCCACGTAAAATTGGATTTCCTTAATGGGATGTTTGGTTGGAGGATTTAGGAAGGGATTTGGAAAGGGAAAGGAAAAAGGTGTGTGAAACTATGTGAAATTTAGGCATGTTTTATTCATATTTCACCTATTTTTTCCATTTCCCTTTCCAAATCCCTCTTCAAATCCCTCAACCAAACACAACATAAAATTAAAGTACAGCATCTAAAATGGGACAAAGTATAATACTAGTTTAAGCTCCAAAGCTCTATAACTGATTTTCCTATTGATCAATTAATATGGGCAAAGGGCTAAAAGAATTTAGGATAAAGTGGTCAATGGTCATTTGTGATGGTAAAAGAACACAATATTTTATATCTTATGAACTATTATGTGCTTTATTACTTTTCTTTTTCCCTCGTTGTGTGTCTCTTGTGCTTTATGAACACAATGTTTTATATCTTATGTTACTTCAAACTAAAACGAAAAAATAAACGAAGGCATTACCTAGCTTTGATGTTTTTTTAGTGTGGGGGTGTTTGGAAGAGTTGGAGTTGAACTCTAATGTTATTTGTGAAAATGGTTGCCTTTAGATTTAAACTGTAATGGCAGGAATTGCGGAAGATGATCACGCATAGGAGGAATTGCTCATTCTCACTCTCGCTATCTGACTTTATATAATTTAAAAAAAAAAAAAAAAACTCAAACAGCACCGACTAATGTGTGTTTGGAAAAGAAAAGAATGGGTACATACATCGTGACTTGAACCCATAGCTTTAAAGTTAGAGCAATGCTAGGTATCATGAAAAAACTTTCATGAAAATGATCATGAAAAATTTATGACCCTTGGATTACACTTAAAATAAAGCACTACATACTAATCAAGATAATCTAATAGTCATAAATTTTTCATGACCAGTTTCATGAAAGTTTTTTCATGATCCCTATCTTTTCTCTTAAAGTTATTAGACCAAGATTTTACCATTGAATCAATTGTCACCCCTTAATATAATTTATCTTATACATTTTTTATATGTCATAAATAATACAATTTTTATGCCTAAAATAAAAATAATTTATTTTTGACATATACAATGTAATTTACTTTATGTCTAAAATAATTTTTAATTTTAAATTTTTATTTGTTATATTTTTAACAGAATCTGTTATTCCTGATTTGTTATACTTTTATTTATTTATTTATTTATAACATATATATATGTCAATCAAAAATAATTAAAAAAAAAGTTTATATAGATAAATTAAAAATATTATCAATAAAAATAATACATAAGCACTTACAATCTACGACTCTTTTAAGTGGTGCCATTTCCGTTTCGTGCAACTAAGGTTTAAACCATCCGTTCTTCCCACACTAGATAAGTTGACTTGTGAAACAAGCTATTGATCATTATACTACTATTTTTTATTTTACTTTAAAGATGTTTGAAACTTGTGTCTTTATTTTTTTCTCCCGAGAATTTGAATATTCTAATGGTTGGAGATTGGTAATGTAGCTGCTCATAACTTGTTATGTCTTGCAAGTTGCAATGTGTGTAGGAGATTCTCTTTTAATTGCTTCTAGAGCCTCCAGCTAACATGATAGGACTTTTGTTCAATTGCTTCTTGTATCTTTTATTTTTCATTTTTTATTGTCCTCCTTTTCAACTAGTTTACCATATTGATCACATTATGCAAATACCAACCACCGCCTCTTGGTTCTAATAAATAGGTTACTGAAACCTAATAATAGAGGGTGGAGGAACAATTATGATTGCATCGATGATAAATATTCTGTTAGATCTCAATAAATTTATTTATCATTTATTGACGGTCTTCATGGTAGAGTTGTGTTCATAGTGCTTTTATTTTGTAATAATTGTCTCATTAGATCAAATATAATTATGTCTACCAACATGTCGCAGTTACTAATGATTCTAAGAGAACCGAATTGTCTCCGGATCCCACCACTGAAAGATCAGAAGCTGATAAGATTGTTGATGGTATGAACTTTGGTGAGCTTTGCAATGAATTTGAGTGCAATAGCAGCCCCTCTGTGGAAGCTACAGCAAGACAACTTGTTCGTGATATCTTAGAGCTTCGGGAAGGCAATCGTGCCCTTGGAACCTATGCAGTTTCTGTCAAGTACAAGGTATTTACATGTTCTGCATAGGATTTACCATGTAGCTAAAGTTTTTTAATGATTCTGAATAAGTAATCTTCATTATTTTTATGCAGGGAAATATGAAAATTTTAGGCTAGCTTCTTTTGCTTTTCCCCTCCTTGTTATTTGAAAAAAAGAACTGTATTTTACCGGCAAAAAAGACCTAAGAATCAAATTTAACTTGGATGAGAGCTTTGTCGGAAATTCATGCTATAGATGAGAGACATCTTTAGAGTTCTATCACTGTTCCATTTTTTAGTTGAAGAATACATGCTACTGGAAAAAAAAATTTGATCGATGAGGATATTATTCGCTGGATCTAGGCACTGTAGTCACTTGCTTAGGCAAATATGTATTTTTGACACCTCTAATGTCTTTTTATTTATTTGTTTATTTATTTTTCTTTTCTTGGTTGGGGGACAAGCAGGCCCTGCCCAGAGATTTTTGAAACCCAAAGTCAATAATTAATTAATAAATTTTTGGGGTTCTTCATATTTTTTTTTTCATTAAATGAAAAAAAAAATGACAAAAAAAAATGAAGATAAAAGACAAAAAATTTGTAACAAAATCACAAAAAATATTTAGTATTACATTACAACAATTAATAATCATCGCTCTTCTTGCATTTTTAGAAGCAAATAAATCAATCATACTTGCATAATCTAGTTTTTTTGCAAAATCATTTTCAATAGATAACAATGCTACTTATTTTTAATGGGTCTTTCAATTTTTTAATGAGTCAATTTATTTTAAATTAGTTTGGGTCTTCCTTAAGCCTAGTTTGGGGAGTGACTCTTTTAGTCAAAAAGTCAAAAAGTTACTAAAAGTTGTCACATCACCTCTCTACTTTTCTGCATATCTTTTCGTAAAAAGCCAAAAAGTTACTAAAATAGTCTGTTCCCAAACTAGGCCTTAATTTTTTTTTTGGATTTAAAATATACATAATATATTACAATAAATTATAATAGGAGGACCCTTTTTTGGGTCTATTTTCAATGGATAATAATGTTAATTTTTTTGAATGGGCCTTTTAATTTTTTAATGGATCAATTTATTTTAAATTAGTTTGGGTCTTCTTTAATTTTTTTACCTAATATATTATACTAAATCATAATAGAAGGAGGCTTATTTTTTAAATCTATTTTGAAGGGTCCTAGTCCATGACCTTGTCGGCGCATGCCCAGGGCCGGCACTGGGGACAAGTTTAAGATTCAAAGTGATGAGGCCCAGCAAGGAAAGGGAATTTTTTATTTTTTATTTTTTACAGCAAGGCTATTTAGGTACGAACCCAAGTTGGAGATGCTTCACTTTCAGTAAAGCGGGTATTTATTTATTTGTTGATTTAACAGCCTTGATGTGTTCAAACTGGAATTCATTGGTCTCTGTCTGTTCTTGTAGTAGATTGGTGATTTCTTTTTTCTTTCTTTTCATTTTTAAAATTTTCTTTGTTAATGTACACTAAACCTAACCCACTAACCTAACCCACTACACCCACTCAACTCCACTAAACCTAACCCACTCTACCTACCACCTCCACTTCACCCCCTACCAGCACCACCACAATCTGCTACCTTCTCTTCTATATATAGGAGTTGTAATCAATATACACAACAATCTTGTAATATAACATATATCAATCAATAATACATCAGTTTTATTTTACAGGGTTGAGGAAGGTTCCACGCTTTCTAAAAGATTTTGCTAGGAACATGAACTTGATACCTAACTCCTTCTTTACATCTAATTATAATAAGCTTTGTGATGCTTTTGAAGTTTTTTTTTTTTTTTTTTTTTTTTTTTTATTTTAAAAAAATTTTTATTTTTTTTTTTTTTTTTTTTTAAATTTTTTTTTTATAAAAATAAAAAAAAAAAAAAAAAAAAAACAGCACCGACTAATGTGTGTTTGGAAAAGAAAAGAATGGGTACATACATCGTGACTTGAACCCATAGCTTTAAAGTTAGAGCAATGCTAGGTATCATGAAAAAACTTTCATGAAAATGATCATGAAAAATTTATGACCCTTGGATTACACTTAAAATAAAGCACTACATACTAATCAAGATAATCTAATAGTCATAAATTTTTCATGACCAGTTTCATGAAAGTTTTTTCATGATCCCTATCTTTTCTCTTAAAGTTATTAGACCAAGATTTTACCATTGAATCAATTGTCACCCCTTAATATAATTTATCTTATACATTTTTTATATGTCATAAATAATACAATTTTTATGTCTAAAATAAAAATAATTTATTTTTGTCATATACAATGTAATTTATTTTATGCCTAAAATAATTTTTAATTTTTATTTGTTATATTTTTAACAGAATCTGTTATTCCTTATTTGTTATACTTTTATTTATTTATTTATTTATAACATATATATATATATATATGTCAATAAAAAATAAAAAAAAAATTTATATAGATAAATTAAAAATATTATCAATAAAAATAATGCATAAGCACTTACAATCTACGACTCTTTTAAGTGGTGCCATTTCCGTTTGGTGCAACTAAGGTTTAAACCATCCGTTTTTCTCACACTTGATAAGTTGACTTGTGAAACAAGCTATTGATCATTATACTACTATTTTTTATTTTACTTTAAAGATGTTTGAAACTTGTGTCTTTTTTTTTTCTCCCGAGAATTTGAATATTCTAATGGTTGAAGATTGGTAATGTAGCTGCTCATAACTTGTTATGTCTTGCAAGTTGCCATGTGTGTAGGAGATTCTCTTTTAATGGCTTCTAGAGCCTCCTGCTAACATTATAGGACTTTTGTTCAATTACTTCTTGTATCTTTTATTTTTATTGTCCTTTTCCTTTTCAACTAGTTTACCATATTGATCACATTATGCAAATACTGACCACCGCCTCTTGGTTCTAATAAATAGGTTACTGAAACCTAATAATAGAGGGTGGAGGAACAATTATGATTGCATCGATGATAAATATTCTGTTAGATCTCAATAAATTTATTTATCATGTATTGACGGTCTTCATGGTAGAGTTCATAGTGCTTTTATTTTGTAATAATTGTCTCATTAGATCAAATATAATTATGTCTACCAACATGTCGTAGTTACTAATGATTCTAAGAGAACCGAATTGTCTCCGGATCCCACCACTGAAAGATCAGAAGCTGATAAGATTGTTGATGGTATGAAGTTTGGTGAGCTTTGCAATGAATTTGAGTGCAATAGCAGCCCCTCTGTGGAAGCTACAGCAAGGCAACTTGTTCGTGATATCTTAGAGCTTCGGGAAGGCAATCGTGCCCTTGGAACCTATGCAGTTTCTGTCAAGTACAAGGTATTTACATGTTGTCCTGTATAGGATTTACCATGAAGCTAAAGTTTTTTTATGATTCTGAATAAGTAATCTTCATTATTTTTATGCAGGGAAATATGAAAATTTTAGGCTAGCTTCTTTTGCTTTTCCCCTCCTTGTTATTTGAAAAAAAGAACTGTATTTTACCGGCAAAAAAGACCTAAGAATCAAATTTAACTTGGATGAGAGCTTTGTCGGAAATTCATGCTATAGATGAGAGACATCTTTAGAGTTCTATCACTGTTCCATTTTTTAGTTGAAGAATACATGCTACTGGAAAAAAAAATTTGATCGATGAGGATATTATTCGCTGGATCTAGGCACTGTAGTCACTTGCTTAGGCAAATATGTATTTTTGACACCTCTAATGTCTTTTTATTCATTTATTTATTTATTTTTCTTTTCTTGGTTGGGGGACAAGCAGGCCCTGCCCAGAGATTTTTGAAACCCAAAGTCAATAATTAATTAATAAATTTTTGGGGTTCTTCATATTTTTTTTTTCATTAAATGAAAAAAAAAATGACAAAAAAAAATGAAGATAAAAGACAAAAAATTTGTAACAAAATCACAAAAAATATTTAGTATTACATTACAACAATTAATAATCATCGCTCTTCTTGCATTTTTAGAAGCAAATAAATCAATCATACTTGCATGATCTAGTTTTTTTGCAAAATCATTTTCAATGGATAACAATGCTACTTATTTTTAATGGGTCTTTCAATTTTTTAATGAGTCAATTTATTTTAAATTAGTTTGGGTCTTCCTTAAGCCTAGTTTGGGGAGTGACTCTTTTAGTCAAAAAGTCAAAAAGTTACTAAAAGTTGTCACATCACCTCTCTACTTTTCTGCATATCTTTTCGTAAAAAGCCAAAAAGTTACTAAAATAGTCTGTTCCCAAACTAGGCCTTAATTTTTTTTTTGGATTTAAAATATACATAATATATTACAATAAATTATAATAGGAGGACCCTTTTTTGGGTCTATTTTCAATGGATAATAATGTTAATTTTTTTGAATGGGCCTTTTAATTTTTTAATGGATCAATTTATTTTAAATTAGTTTGGGTCTTCTTTAATTTTTTTACCTAATATATTATACTAAATCATAATAGAAGGAGGCTTATTTTTTAAATCTATTTTGAAGGGTCCTAGTCCATGACCTTGTCGGCGCATGCCCAGGGCCGGCACTGGGGACAAGTTTAAGATTCAAAGTGATGAGGCCCAGCAAGGAAAGGGAATTTTTTATTTTTTATTTTTTACAGCAAGGCTATTTAGGTACGAACCCAAGTTGGAGATGCTTCACTTTCAGTAAAGCGGGTATTTATTTATTTGTTGATTTAACAGCCTTGATGTGTTCAAACTGGAATTCATTGGTCTCTGTCTGTTCTTGTAGTGGATTGGTCATTTCTTTTTTCTTTTTTTTCATTTTTAAAATTTTTTTTGTTAATGTACACTAAACCTCTCAACTCCACTAAACCTAACCCACTCTACCTACCACCTCCACTTCACCCCTTACCAGCACCACCACAATCTGCTACCTTCTCTTCTATATATAGGAGTTGTAATCAATATACACACATCAATCAAAATATCAATCAATAATACATTTATTTTAACATTCTTATTGATTTGAAGTTTTGGTGTCATATCTTTCTGTGTAGCTGCACTTTCCCTTTTATCTGGTAAAATTCTTAGATCATGTTTGATCCATGTATCATCCATTTAGGCAGAAAGGTTCCCATGAGAAATTGATGTGTAGGTGACATGAAGAACAATTTGGAAAATTCATTTGTTTCTGTTATTACCATTGGCTTCTGGTTTGTTTGTACTTTTCCTTCATTCATTATCTTGACTTTTTCTGCAACATCAATTGCAGGATCCAGTTAGAAGTTTTACTGGTCGTGAGAAATATAAGAGACCACTGTGGATAACTGATGCTCTGGATAAACCCACTGTGGTGAGGATTCTATCTTGTACTAGTTTATTTATTGTTCTATGTTGTCTATAATAAAAAAAATACAATGTTTATTAGCTTAGGGTTAATTTTTTGCCTCGTAAATCTATCCATTTGCCCTTGATTTTGTAGAGTGTGCAGGAAATGACGATGTTGTCAACCAGTGTGCTAAGTATTAAGTGGACAATTAAAGGGAAGCCTAAATCTTTTCTTGCTGGTATGGGAGGAGACGTGATCATTAAAGTGACTTCTCAGTTTACTCTGAACCAGATTAGTGGCCAGGTGACTGTGCATGAAGAATTTTGGGATTTATCAGCATCGTCAGCCATTGCTCAGACTTATTTCTGGACATCACGGCGTCTTTTTGCTACGATTGAGGCTGGGAAAGATGTAGCTGACTTTGTCAAGAACATTACAAGCCGATTTACAACACAAAAAGAGAACTTAGAGATTTATCCAGACCCTTCTGGTGATCCAACGAAGGTAAGTTCTTCTTTAGAAGCTCTTCATGAACATATTCTCAGCCAATATACGCATATGATATTTATTTTGCTGATTGGTAGGTGAGGTGTACACATTAAAAAAGTGAATTTCCTTCTACAAATTTCTTTCCCAGTTAAGACATCTTAATGTTTAAAAGGAGTCAATTACTTTTCTTGTATGACTAACTGATGGGTTATGTAATATCTTTCTATGATTCAGTTCTTTGAAAGGGATGACAGTTTCCAAAGAGATGCATACCAAATTGCACTATTTTTGGCAGTTGTGTATTTTGTTGTACAGTTTTTGAGGACGACGCTGTAACGCAACGACTACTACCTACTGTGCATTCTGCATCTGTATTAATTATAATTATTGGTATTTTATGACAATAATAGGTCATCATCAGCCAATAATGACAGTATTAAATTTTTATGTAAAGACCTTTTGTATATGTATATGATTTATGCTATATTTCATGTTTTACTTTGAGTATAGACACTTGTTTGACATCTCTTTCCTATTTACACATAATCTTATTTCTCAGTTGATTTTCCTACTATTAGGTACAAGTAAGTTGGCCTCTCGTGTATTTCTGGGTTGCGTTACGATTTTAGATTTGTGAATGAAAATTAAAAGTGAAGAATAAGATCCAAACACAGTCTTATTATGAGTATTGTTGTCTCATGTAAAAAGTTGGACAATGGAATAAGAAATGTGGTTATATATTGAATTTTTTTTACACAGATTTAATCAAAATCTTACCCTTAAATCTTACCTTACTTTATTTATTTTCTTTCTGAAACAACATTTCGAAGGTTGTCTTGCGTCAAAGAGTTAGACAATAGAATATGAAATGTGGTTGAATAGAGAATTAATCATACAAATTTAATTAAAATCTTACACTAGTTATTTATTTATTTATTTTTCTTTCTTTCTTCTTGCTGCATAGAGATGCAACTTGTGATAGAATACAAAAGCATGACATTGTTGGCATAATCTGAGGACATTCTCATACGTTCTCTCTTTCTCTCCACGTGGCACAGGGGGGCAGACCAGCCCTAACCTTACCCGAGCCAACACATTGAAGGATAATTCATATAAATGTATATATATATATATATTTGAAAAAAATTCCCTTCAACCACAACCTACCACTTCATTGAAGAAAATTGTATCCACCACAACTGAACCTTCTCAACATCCTCCATCAAAACGAATCTATAGTGCATTGTCTTTAATACTCTCTATAAAAATAAAAATAAATGTTAGAAATTCTAAAAGTTTTATTAAATTTTTTATCAAATATTCCACATGAATGTATGTGAAATATTTAGTAAAAAATTTGATAAAATTTTTAAAATCTCTAACATTACTTATAAATAAACATCATTTGTACCATAGAGAATTGGATTCCATCAAAACAACTCACTATAAGTGGGGGCCTAATCATTTTTGGGCTTTAGGCGATATGTTAAATTAAGGCCTTTTAGATTTTACTATATTAATTTAAATAATTATATCTTAGTTATTGAAAATGTTAAACCTTTTTTTTTTTTTAAAGTTTAATTTCGAGATGCATTATTAATCAATATCGCTAATCTATTTTATTATTTTTGTGATATAGTCAATCTTAAATAAAATTTCATAAACTATAAGTTTGATTTTTTTTTTTTATATAAAACAATTATTACATGTATTGTTGATAATATTTTGTAAGTAGTGATGCATTAATATTATAGGTTTTTAATAAAATTCATTAAGTTGACTACATTGTTCTTTTTTCTTCTATTTGTATAACTTTTTTCAAAAATTTTAGTTAAAAAAACAAATCTAAACCAATTTTGTTGGGTCTATATTCTAAACTATATAAATCTAATAATTTTAATTGTTGGAACATACTTTCAATTAAAAAATAATTTGATCTATTATATATTAAAATTCTAAAAGTTTCTTTAACATATTGTGTTATCTTGTCGCATTAAAAATCTTAAGCTTCAATAAACATTTCATTCTAGCCCATGGCTTTTTCCTTTGTTTGTTTCGGTATAAATTTTAAAAGGGTTTATTAAACTTTCTTTCCCAAAATTATCACCAAATTATTTATTTAATTCATAAATTATTGATTGAGTATATTTGATTCCTAAAGTATATACGTCAAAGTCTATTTAATTCCTAAACTATAGATTGAATCTATTAAGTTCCTAAAATATTTAATTCAAACCTATTTACTCCTTGAAAAGACGAGAAAATTAAAATATATGCGCATAAGTATTATAAATTAATTAAAAAATCCTATCTAATTAAGATTTTATTACAAAAAAATTTAAAATTTTTATTTTGTCTTTAAAAAGTGTTTATTTCCATGTGTGTTTGTTTAAATTAGTATTAGAGTCTAGTTTTTGCGTCAGTAAATTATATGAGTATTAGATATATTGAAGAAGTAGAATTAGATAATTTAAATAATAACACCTCACTACAAATAATAATAGAATAAAATAATACATTAATTAAGTAATAAAAAGAATTTAGTGAAAAACTTAAAAACAATCAATTAAAAATTATAAATAAAATCTGATACATAATACTAGATAAAGGCAAACATGTAGCCATTGTGAAAGACAAGTAAAAAAATATTGTAAATAATTATTCTTACCGTTATAAAGAAAATTCACTGGAAAAACTTGCACCCACTTTTCGAATATTTTTTTTGAAATAAAATTTTAACTAAATAGGGTCTTTTACTTATGAGATTATATTTTATTTTTATAATCATTTTAAGAACTGAATAGATTTGAATTAAATACTTTGGTGACTTGAGATATTCAATCAACAGTGAAGGAACTAAAAAGACTTTAATTTATATAACTTAGAGATTTAATAAACTCAATTGATAATTTAAGAATAAAGTAGATAATTTGATGATATTTTAAAAATATAAAATGTAATAAACCCATTTTAAAAATAAAACAAGAGGCATGACCCTTTTTTTTTTTTTTACCATATCAAATCTTTCTTGCATCGTTTTAACCCAAACAAGCGACATGCTGTTTAGATTTTTTTGCCACCCCATCAATTATTTTGAATATTTTATTTTTTAACATTTTTTATTAAAATAATAATTTTAAATAAAATTATTAAAAATGACATCAATAATTTTGAGACACCACATCTCACAATTAAGCCCATATATCTACTACATCATGAGTTAGAGTTTATAAGTGCATCCACTTTCATCATCACCCATCCATCTTCTCCAAATCCCACCTTCAAAACTTTGAAAATCTTTGGCGACAATACTCCGGTGATAACGATAGCAACTATTTGATTACCTACACTTCTCTGATAATAACAATGAGTGAAAGTTTTTTCGGTAACCACAACTCCATGAAACAAGAGGAGTACAACAATAAAAACTCAGAAGAGGTTCATAACTTTAATGATATTTTTAGTTTAGAGGACATTGTCCTTATAAGGGTAAGTTTTTTTTAAAAAAAGACAAAAATAATAAAAAGTGTTCATCATTTTTTCAGGATTGCACTTCCGAACATATGACCGAAATTCTGCAACACAGGCCCAAATATTGTTTATTTGTTTAGGTAACTGAATATTTCTTATTTGTTCAGGAACAAATAACCGAAACTTGTGAAAATCACAGAACCAACAAAAGAAAAATTTTGAATTAATAACAAAAAAATCTTACATTTATTTTCTCAGGTCATGAACAAGTATGTGGAGAGGAAATAATAATCACATTCGTGGATTTGGTTAGGATTTTTGAAAGAGAGACTTTTTGGAATGTAGGGGTGTGCATTCAATTAAATGGGTAAAATATTTTCATAAGGATAATTTTAATATTATTTGAAAAAAAAAAATTTAAAGGATTTTAGGGGTTCAAAGAATTGAAGGATCCAAAATAATTGATAAGTTGTTAATAGTATGAAACCGAGGATTTTTTGTAATTAAAATAATACATTATTTAGGAGATTTAAAAAATTGGAACCTTCGGAAATATGAAATTTTATGTAATTGTCTAATTGGCCCAATGGTGAAACCATTCGTGCTAGACTCACCATTGATCATCTCCCGACCCTACTAGACTCACCATTAATCATCTTCCCACCGCATCTTCCCGCCCATTCCACTACCAACCACCATCCACACCTTCCTCTCACTCCTATCAAGTACTGTCTTTTCCTTCACATCAGCTATCAATTGCCACCCATCTTCCTCTAATATTGTATTTGGTTGGAAGATTTGCGAAATGATTTAGAAAGGAAAATAGAAAAGATAAATGAAATGTAAATAAAATATACATGCATTTCATATAGTTTTACACACTTTTTTACTTTTATTTTCTAAATACTTTTGCCAAAAATTCTCCAACCAAACACAGTATAATAGTTTGCCCCTACCCCTCACCACCGCCACCATCTCCAAACCACTAATCATTGCTACTGTACGAGTATGAAATAATTTTTTCGTATAATCCTGTTGATCGAGTTTGCACTCCTCTAAACGTCGTCGCTTTAATACCTGAAAACACAAACGTGAGTTAGCCGGCGGGTGTGTACTGGAAACCTCTCTGATGCCTAAGTCAGCAAATAGACAATAGACACAAAAGCTAGGGGTGTCCGCGGTTCGGTTTGGGACAGTTTACGGTTCGGTTTGGACCCGCCCGCATCTATGCGGTTTGGGAAAAAGTCAACCCATAACCGCCCGCAATGCGGTTTGCGGTTTGTGCGGATAGGGCTCGCGGATGTGTGGGCGGTTGCGGGCAGTTTGCAGATTGAACTTTTTTTCCAAAAATTTATTTTTAAACCTTTTTTTTTTCCCCCATTTTTTCAATCTTTATTTTGGACATTTTTCCTCATATTTTTTAAAATACTCCAACATTAATAATTAATAAATTAAAACTTATAAAAAAACTTAACAGATTCATTTTCACAGATTCAAGTTAACAGATTGAATCAAGTTAACAGATTCAAATTCACAGATTTAATTCCAAAAAACAGATTATACAGAGTCTACAGACACAGATAGATTTAATTCCAAAAATTAAATAACAGATTTAAATAACAGACAGATTTAATAACAGATTGATTCCAAAAATTAATTCCAAAAATTAATTCCAAAAGTTAACAGATTGAATCAAATTAAATCAAAAATTAATTCCAAACAGATTCCAAGTTAAATCAAAAAACAGATTTAATACAAACCCAGAGAGTGAGAGACCGTTGTGAGGTCGATACTCCAAAAACACATTAATTCCAAAAAATATCCTCCAACAAAAAATATCCAAAAACACAGATCTGTTGTGAGGTCGATACTCCAAAAACACATATAATCCAAAAAATATCCTCCATCAATCCAATACCACATTAATTCCAAAAACACAGATCTCTTGTGAGGTCGATACTCCAAACACAGACAGATCAAAGATCGGGGAGAGTGAGAGAGAGAGAGAGACAGAGAGAGAGGCTTACTTGTGAGGT